CCCCCACATAACTCTCTGCTTCTCAGTTTGTTGATAAAGCCAACGTGGCCATCGATATTCGACCAGCTCATACTGGAAACCGTAATTTTTCGCCATTAGAGGTAGCGTTTCCTGAAAATCCCGAAAAAAAATATTTTCGGCATTTTTCGCAAAATTTAAACTATATAGGCTAGGAAACATACATTTTTTGAAGTAATATGCGTCTATACTTTTACACCTTCATAGATTTTTTTGTGAAAAACTCGTATGCGGCAATGCATAAGGCAAGGAATAGCTAGTCTAATCAAGAGCTAGGAATGGACAAAACAGTTGAGCAAAGCGGATTATTGAATGGTACCCACACACAGTGAAAAAACAATTGGGGTGGGGAAAGAGAAAGAAGAAAGCTCCCTTAAATCAAGAAATAGGAATGGGCATAACAGGTGAACAAAGCGGATTATTGAATGGTACCCAGATAGTGCCAAAAAATAACTGCTCAGCAGAGGGGGAAGGAAGAAGGATCCCCCAAAATTTTGCTGCTAAAGCCAGTCCACAAACAACCATCAACAGCCTTGTCAGCAGTGTGTACCCAACTCTCCCGAATTTTTGTAGGCGCACTAAGATTTCAAAATTCGTTCAAGCAATCGCCTTCATTTTCGATTTTGCCAGTATTTATGAAACAATCAAAAATTCAGTTCCCTAAAAATTCTGAAATTTCTACTGTTTAGACGTGAGCAATACTCATTTGCAACATCGAAAACACCGAAAATCGTCCAATCATCCTCATTTGTTGAGTCAAAATTTCCTCATGCCTCCTATGCAATCAATAGATTTTTGACTTATCTGAACTAAACTACAAAGTAACAGGAAAATCAACCTTAAAATGAGGTGAGAGGTAGTTCTTGAGAAGCCAAAATTTCACGGGATGTTTGGTGTGTTTCATTGTACTCAGAATCATGATGCGCATAAATCGTTCATAGAGGTGTCCGGATGCTAGTGAAAATATATTTATTGTATCGTATTTTTCACCACCTGTTACACTTCTGCAAAAATTGAAAAAATAACAAAATGATCCCAAGGCGTGTACCGCGGTCAACTGGTCACAGACTGGACAGCTGCTGTTGATTGTTTCATGGTAGTGCTCATTCGAAACTTTGAAAAGCTAAATTTTTGCCTAGTAATGTTTGCCGGGAAAACCGATCAGCTGGCAATCTCAAAACAGGGAAACATACATTGTGATCGTCAGTAGCAAATTGATTTTTGATTCATAGTCAATTTTTGATAGTTTTAAAATTTTTTGCGTAATATTGATGCAGTAGATCATTCCTCCCTCCCCTTGCCCTTCCTGGGGGAAATGATCTACTGATGTGGCGACGGGCGGGGAGGGAAGTGGGGCGATCGGGTGCGGGAGAGAGTTTCCTTCAGTTTTAGCTTCCAACCCGAACTTTCCTACCACAGATGTTTGCCCTGCTGGGAAGGCAAAAGATCCCCCTTCCCCCTCCCCGGATCCATCCATTTTCAACACGCATATTCGTCTTGCGACTATATAAATAAGTGCTGCAACAAGGAACTGTTTTCTTTTTCTACAGAAAATTCCTCTACAGAAGTTACATACGTGGATATGGTACTCCAGATGGATGACAGCTGCTCTTCGCCTTCTTCGTCAAGTTTGCCCTCACTTAACAATTTCTCATCTTCTTTGCCTTTTTTCTTCGCAACTCGGATACGAATTGTTCGACCACTGAATGAATTAATCAGTACGCTCACTCCACTGCTATTCTCGGATTCCGTGTTTACATGGCTGCAAAAAAATTCCCAATACAAAGTTGAGCAATGTTTCATAATTCATCTTCACATGTTTAAAAATATTTTAAAATGATCGAAATTGTTTCTAATTTCAAACAGTGTGAAAAAGTTTCTACGAATAAATGAGGAATAGTTTGTGAAAATAAAAAAAGGTCTGTTTTTCCTTTACAATTTGTTATAAAATAATTTCCTCGCCTTTCTCTTTTCTCTCACTCTCTTTGTTCTCTCTAATGTTTACTCTTTCTTTCGTATATCCGTCTTGCAAATTAGTTACATGACTATTCAGTACATGGCGGATAGGTGGCTACACTAATGATCCCTGCTCCTAGCCGTATGCAAAATTCTGTCTGTGTTTACAGCTAAGAGATGAAGCCGAATCATAAAATGTCTTCTTATACATGACACTTAGTCCAATCCCTCTATTCTACCATTTCATGAGGTAAGCAATAAAACAGTAGCAGTCCTAACTCCCTATTAAGCATTTGTACCAACTTAACTACAAACGAATAAAAGCATCGTTAAGAAAATATTTTTCTCAATGACGGATCGAACCAGATTCAACTGTAATAGCAGTTCTACTGAATAATCCC